AATCATATCATCATTACTTATTGTCCCTTTACGCAATATTTATATTCAATAGAATGACTATTTTCATCAGTTTTAAATTCAGTTTTGAAACCTGTATGTACAACTGAGGACTAAAGTTAGTATATACACCGGTGGACAAAAAAATAGCACATATGTACGTGCTATCTTTAATTGCTTTTAAACTACTTAGAATTGTTGAATGTAATAAATACCATTCTGATTGTTACATTGTAGAGAGAAGGAATTTTTTATTAAATATGGTTGACCTTGCAAGCCTTCTGAGTAAGCAGAAAAAATATATAAATACTGATGGCGAAACTATAGCACATTCGCAAAATTTATACACATATTTTTACAAAAGAGGAAGTTACTTTGCAATTAATACAAAGTTAATAATGAGTATATCCGCCTTTAATTTTCTATTACTTCGAGTATCCACTTCGATAAGGATTCGTAAAGCTTTTTAATTGTATTTTGTAGCAAATTATCCTATTCTATTTTAATAGCTTCTTTTAATTGCTCAATATTATCATACTATTTTCCATTCTTATATACAGAACGTGATAGTTTTCCTCACAAATTTTCAATAATACTCAAGTCCCAGGAGCGTGCGGTCCACGGCAAAACCGATACGATTTCTCTTTGAACAGCGTGCGGGCAACGGTAAAACCAATACGTTTTCTCTTTGAAAAAATTGTTCTTCGACTTTAATTCGGTGAATTGCAGCATTGCCATGTTGAAAAATAAATTTATCTTTGGTAATTCGTAATAGCGTGTTCATTAATTTGTTTTGAGTTTAAATTTATATACTTTTGGAAATTAATTTTTCCTTTAAGAAACCGTACATTTGTTTTGTCTCTGTATCCATTCCATTTAAATTTCAGTCCGGATCACCACACCACCGCCACCCATTTGTTTTTGTTTTTTTATTAATCTTTCTTTTTTTAAATCATGGTAGTAAAATGAAAATGTCAGTAAAAAAAAATTCGTTTCCATTTCTTCTTCCAATGAATGTGTTCTTTTGCGAATATTAGTCGTTGCTCTTTATGGTATTTTATTAACGGCTTCAGCTGTTAACCTTTGAGTAAATTTACACTTCTGAAGAATACGACGAACACTTCGGATATTTGCAATGACGCCTGTTTTTTTAAGCAATTTCACGGGATGTCAATGTTAAATTGGAAGCAAGATGAATAATAATCCGTTTATCCCGTTCTAGTAATGCCGGTGGTCTTTCACAATTTTTTTCTTTCCATAATTTGCAAGATCTCCTAACAAATTACACACTACTTTACAGTTTTTGTGGACAATTTGTGAAATTTTGAAAATAGTAATATTTTGATTTTTTAATTCAATAGTCCTTGCAATTTCAGTTTCACTTAATTTTTTGCCGCAGCCCATGTCTACGTTTAACTTTAAATCTCGATACCCACTACTAATTGTTTGCCAATTCGTAAACTATTGAAGGGTACTAGCACAAATTTCAAGTGTGTTATTATTTCTATCATTTCTATCATTTCGCTGTACAGTATTTGTATATTTCTTGTGCTTATTCGGAAAGCTAGCAAAGTTAACCATATTTACTAAGAAATTTCTCTTTGCAATGTAATAATTAGAATCATATGTATTACATTTAAAAATTCTAAATAATTTTCAATAAATTACATATGCGCTATCTTTTTGTCCCAGAGTGTACAAAGAAACTTAAAACAAACTTTTCTGCGTTCTTTTGTGATCCTTAACATGTAAAAGTTTCAGGTATTCGTTTGAAAAATATCCTATTTTTAATAATAAATAACTTGTTAAAACATAATAAACAATGATTAAATTATATTATATTAAGTCCAAAGTCATCATACAGTCTCCTCTAAAACAATTATTTACCTGTCATTTAAAGATATATGTGTCAAAATAAAATTCAAGAAATTGAAATTGAAGATTCAAAATTGTAGTGTGAAATAATAATTACAAAAAATTCCTGCAATTTGTTTTGTATGTACAATGTGCAATGTGTGGGTGAAAAAGTATTCACAAACGGCATCGAATGATGTACCACGGAGAAATGTAGCTGCACCAACTAATGCAACTGAATAAAATGTTACAGCATGAGCGTAAAATTTTTCAGAAGCTAATGTATATTGAATCTGAATGTTGGAATTATAGTATGATGAAGATAAACATCTAAACTACAGCCAGCGTGCATGGGAAGGAATTCTGTAGTGTGAATATGTTAGACAAGATGATTCACACATTAAACTTCGCAAAGATACTGCTATCCTTTATCTCATTTTAGGGTATTTCATATATACAATATAATTATTTCCGTTAAGGTAGTCATTCCCGACATTGGATAATATCAATCTCCCACATGATGAGGAGTCGTTGAACAGTATATTTAACTATACTTTCTGTATCACGTAGTGAGCGAATCATCCTACATGATATATTAAAACAAAATTTTAAAAGTATATTATTGTAAGAGTTGCAACTTTGGTGGACAACATTTGACAAAGGTCATAAGACTTCGTTATATTATAAAGAGAACTGTATTGCCAAATCATACATCTATTTGTTTTAAATTCGTCACATTGCTGGATTACTTTTCGAAATTGGTTCCAAAGACTTATGAGAATTATGATAATCTCTTACTGAAGATATTGTTTTAGTTACTTAATGAATAACTGAGTAAGTATATTGTATTTATATATCTTCCACAAATTATGATAACACTATCGTCCAATAGTATGTTTGATACCTATTGCATAGATATGGACGCAGTCAATACAGTCAACAGATTGCTTAGAATTTGTAGATTATCTATGGACCCTGTGTGTAGACAATTGTCTGTAGGTTTGAGCGCAGTTTTACATATTGATTAATCAAGTGCATAAGCCGATCGCGTAACTACAGCAGTTACATGTACATCCAAAAACATCTGTAAATACTCATATAAATACTCAACATTGTTCACACAATCTTTTATTTTAATGATTGAAACAAAAATGTCTATACCATTTTTGACAGATGAATACTTTTTTACGCAAGTTTTACTCCCAAATAGACATGTAAATACCTTAACTTAATTTGTAAATAAAAACAAACCTAATTTTATATGTTATTATGTAATTATTTCTTGACCTCAGATTTTTAGTCCTGATTTTCATGAGAACAAAAAGTGTGCTTATTTTGTGTGTATTATGTACAAATATTATAATTTATTTATATTACATACACTATTATTTATTATGTGGAACTACATTAAATAGAATATTTTTATTTAGTGTCATCATAAATAAAGATATTGAACTTTATTACATTGATAATTTTAGGAAAAACAGTTCAGAAAGAGGTCGTATCGAGTCGGGTTGGTTATTAAACGTGTCTTAAAATTCGAAAATATTGGAATTGTCGAAAACTCCGAGGATTTTTTGGATTTGTATGAATATCGAAAATCTCAGGAAAGTCAGACTTCACAGCTATCAATGTAGAAGTTTTATTCTTAAAACTTAACTTAGATAAACGGTTATATGATTCCCTTTTTGTGAAATTATAATGGTCAAAATATCGACAGTTTCTTTTTCTTTAATTAAAATTTTATGTTGCTTTAATTTTGTTTCAAAACATCGTTGGAGTTCGAAAATTCTTGAAAATTTCAAGATCAAAACAATTTCCAAACCAATCTCATCCAATATTTCCGGATTTTAGTGTGGCATTAGTGTTAATGCTGAATATTTATAGAAATGTTACACTGTAAGTGTATCTACATATGGATAGATATGAAAATGCATGAATCTACTATCATATATGTAATCAGCCATATGCTCAATCGGTTGAGGTTTAAGTAATGTGCCTTAAAGTGGTTTGTTATGTTTAATTTTTTATATCTCAGAAACAAAGCAACAAATTGAAAAATAATAAAAGGTTTTCCAATTCCTTTTAATATAAGGAATTCGCATGATTCAGTTTGCTGCTTATTATTAGAATATTTTATACAAATAAAAAATGATTTTGAATCGAAAAAATCATATTTTCAAAATTGAGTATATATGTACATTTAGCTTTGCATTACAATACAATGATTCATAAATTAAAATTACATTTAAAATGTATATAATTGAACTAAATGATATATTGTTGTAATGGAAAGCTAATGAAGCAAACTAACTAGGTATAATAAAGCCACTAACAATTTGTTATAATGCAAAACAAATAAATATACAATATTAAACACACACAAAAAGCAATAAAATTATAACACAGTTTGAAATATCTAGATGATGTTTAGAAAACTGCAAATGTAAAAATCACATTAAACTGTGTATATTATTGCCTGGTTAGTGAAGTGGTGCAATGATTATTTGATGAGTTATGTAGGTCTCCAGATATCAGGATCCTCCACAAGAGTTGTATGATGATCTGTAGTAGGAGGTATTGTACCCTGTGGGGAACCCACACCCGACGTCATTCCAGCTGGGTCGGGCCTGGTTCCTCTGTTATCATTAGTATATTAGTAATAAAATAAAAAATTATTTTTAGTTATACTCAAAATTAATATTATATATTATTATATTTTAATAAAACAAAATTTTGTTATAATATAATAATATAAAATATGTGATTCATAATAAAAAAATAGTGAAATGATGCTTTGTACATTATATAAATTGAACAATGTTACACATTATGTTTTAAATAAATCACATTATGGGACAATAAATTGTGTTAGTTAATTTATATACTAAAAAAAGAAACAAGAAGCTAACAGTAATGAAATTGGACACGCATGCAAATAATTATGAAATAATATAACCATTAGGCCCACAAACAAATATATACACATATTGTTATAAAACTGTTACACACATTTCATTTTTTCAACTGAAAAAGTTAGTTAATCATTTAATATTAGTTTTTTATACCTATGAAAATATTTCTAAGTGTATAATTCCTTTGTTAATAGCTCATCTTATAGAACTATATATTAAAAAAATGTAACTTACTTTCGTCCGAGAGACATTAATCCATATATTACACCTGTTGCAAATATTAGACCACTGCCAAAAATACTACTCATCCCTAGACATAGAAAGACCGGTGGAAGTGCTATTCTAAAATAATAAAAATTGAACAATATATAGTGAAATATTAATATGGTAAATTGATGTAAATTGTAGGACTAAATGTACAATTTTGTTAACGGAATAATGTACTTACAAACAATATGCTGCTGCTCTATTCCAATATGGTCTCTTTTCTACCCAGTCACTTAAGTTTTGTACAAAATCAATAAATAAACAACAACATGGGGCTTCTATCATTACTACTACAAAACCAGCCACCATTTGCCACATACCACTAATCAAACAATCTATAGAACCCAATAATATTGACGCACAATTCCATGCTCCAAGAAAAATTGCAACTGTAAAAAAATAAATAAAAGTTAGTATCATGTTACAATTAATTTCTATTAGCCTACATACTTTAATATTATATTTTATAACACATATTATAACTATTACAGTTAAAAATATATTCTAACAAAAATAATAGGTATTATGTATATGCAATTGTCTAACAAAGAACAAAAATCCAAAAACATATTTTACATTTAAATAAATAAATCTTAATGTTATATATTTATAAACAATATTATAATATGTATTTTTATTACATGCAACCTCATAAATATAACACATTTCTGGCAAAATTATAACTTATATCTATTAACATACATTACTTTCGAAAACTTACTTAAACTGCCTACAGTGCCGAGTCCTCGACCAGCATACTTCATCCACAAAGGCACATCATCCTTGGCAACAGGATCTCGTCCTGGTGTTTGCATAATTGATGTTATTTTTTCAGCAAACGACTAAAAAATAAAGAAAGTAAAAAATTATAATTATTAAAAATAAAAAGTTAAACACATGCTTAATCAAGAGTTCTGTCATAAATTTAAGATATATTTACCATTTTTACTAATTTATACTTCTTCAACAGCTGTCAGGACTAAACACGACTGACAGTACTATAAGGATCTGTTGATGTATGAAAAATCGACCCGTGCAAGAGCTTCTTAATTATACAGACAGAGGCGCCTGTATCTGTCAATGATTTTATACACAGTTTTCACGTGAAGTGATATTTAGGCACTGTTTCTATTACCAACTTATATATTTTACGCAACATAACCTTTAAGACAAGTTTTTACTTAGTATTATATAAATGTTTGAAAATGAATAAACTTTTATTATCATATAAGTATAAGATTTTATTAATTCAACTTCTGTTAAATTGTAAGTTTTAAACAAACGTATACATTAATATCACCCATTCGAACTTAATATGTTTACCTGGATTTATGCTTAAAATCAGTTTCAACGAAACCATTCTGACGAATCTCGTAAATCCCCCTCCACTCCTGTTAATTATGTTTTTAAATATATTCAACCATCACAGCAGTTGAGCATAATTATACTTTGATAAATTATCTCAGATGAACAGTCATTAAATATAGCATTATTTGTTGTATAGATAATCAAACAACAATGTATAACTATTGAAATATTTATTCCAGCATTACAAATTGCTACTATTAAATTGCTGTGTAAATATACTTAAAATTTAATATAGAAGAAACATTTATGGATACACAGTAATTAAATTTATTTTAAGTGGTGCTAAATCATTGCATCAATATATTATTATAATGTATATAAGTAAATCAGTAACAACAATAGCATTTCTTTTATTACAATTAAATCATGTTGTATACTCAGTAAAATCATCCATATAAATACGTTTGTTTGCTTTTGGTGATAAATCATCAGTTGCTCCATCCGGATTGTTATTTATTGTTTCTTGTAACACGCGATTTCTAAGACGTTTTATATGTCGTAAACGTTCCAACCAATTAGATGCATACGGATTATGACTATTTTGTTCTAAAGATGAAGAAACCATTGAAGCAAGCTACAAAAATGAATTATAAACAATTCAAATTTTACTACAGTGAAGTACAGACTTATGAAACAAAAAATTATATTTTGAACTATGTAAAAGGTACAATATACTGTTAGAAAATATTATCTTTAAAAATATATTCCATATTTTGTAAATAAAACTTACATTTGCATGAAGAGCAAGTTGTCGAGACAAGATAGCTAAATTTTGATCAGAAATAGTTTTAGGTTCATTATGTCGAATGTGTTTTGCTAATTCTTCTTTTACTTGAACTGTGACTTGATTAGTGCCATGATCTAAAGGTTGAATTACAACACATGCATAATTGAACTGTCCCTAAGGAAGAAAAGAAAAGGTTGTTACAATTGAATTACATTATCAAATATTATAATACATACTTTCACAGTTTGTATATTGTATGATTCCCCTGATTCGTTATAAACAACAGTAACATAATTGTTTCCAATATGTTGTTTCTTAGATGTACATTTAGGATCACTTGCTTTTGTTGGCATCAAAGTAGCAACGTGAAACGCTACCTAACAAAAGTCAAGATTTATTGTAAATATTTATATTAAGTAAAATTATACATATAAAAATATTCATAATTTATATTAACTTGTGTAACGTCGTCTTGCCAAATGTATGCAAAATTTCCATTTTCACCATTACGATCTAAACCTCCTAAAAATACACTTTCATCGACATCCTTTAATCGAACTAATGTTCCCAGACGTTGTAAAAATTCTGTGTATCGAAGCGATCCATGCTGATTAGCCAAAATCTCGATCTCATTAGACGCTTGTCCTGGACCAACATAAAGAACTCCAATTTTATGAGTTTCATAAGGTTGTATTCTATCTAAATTTGTTACTGCCCTTTGCACAGCTGTTGTTTGTGGAACTAATAGAGGCTTTTCTGAAGGAGAACCAAAATGTGCCGTATGATACAGTTGTAAAAACACAAAACTGTAACATATAATATAAATATGAAATATATATATTTAATAACGAAAACAATGTATATTTATATGTTAAATTATTGTACTACCTGGGATTAATACCAGTTTTTGGTGTATCTTTTACTCGCGGTGAATTTCCTCTACGAATATTGTCCCATTCTCCACGTGATTTTTTTACAGGACTCATTACCGAAATTGTGTGACCTCTGTCCCGAAATGGTAATGGCAGAGGTGGTAACATAGACGGATCAGGTTTTTCATCTTTCTAGAAAATATATATACAATTTAAATCGCAATAAATATATAAAAAGTGTTACTTACAATTATACAGTATAAAGCGCGTAAAGTGTGTTACGCAAATGTCTACACAAATATTTATGATATTGAAAAAGATAATCAGAAAAAGTTAATGTGTTTGAAACACAAGTTTAAAAAAAAACATTATTTCAACTATCTTAAATAAAGTTAAACTTTTATATGTTTAAATTCCAGCACATATTTCGGAATAAATTCAATGACTGAAAACAGAGATCTTTTAAAACCAAAAAAAGAAAACTAAATAAAATTTTATGATGAGTACTCAAAAAGTACTCGCTATTTAACTGCTTTAACGTAATATAACAATTTGAATATCTTTTTATACTATACTACAATTTACCATGTTAATGGTCATATAAGTACCTTTCTTCTTCTTTAATACAAAAGTGAGCCAGTGTTGTTATCTCACATTATTGAATAGCACCTATGGAACGAACTCCATCCATATGTAAACCAGAACTTTGCCAAAACAAAATTTTACTACGTGTTTGGTGGCATAGCTGGAATTGTTTAGTTTAAACTATTACCAAAGTTTTTAATTGTTATAGTAAAGTTATACTCAATCTTATTTGAAAGACATTACACATTTTAAACTGAATAACTAACATTGATAAATCTTAATGATAATGCAAAAGAGTACGTTGTAGGCAGGAATTATAAAAAAATTTGTAATTGTTTAAGAGACTTTGGTTCATAGATCGTAAGTATTAAATTATCATTATTTTTTTATCCTTGCAGAAATATTTTACATTTAGAAATTTAAACAATGATCAATATTCTTTTGACTTTAAAGATATGAATTATTATAAAATTACTCTCTATATTTTTACATTCAAAAAGAATTACTGATTGTGATAGTAATTATTCACAAATATGAAAACATCAAATAATATAGAAATTGTATATCTATTTCTAATACTAAAATATCGAAAAATTACTAGATATAATATTGAACAAGTACTTTAAAAAATGAATTTTAATTTTATTTTATAGATATATACTTTAAACGAGAACCAAATTCACAAGAGTGAGTATAGTGGCAGATTAAAAGTTGTCGTATGTTTGTTTCAAATAGTTTTAATTTAGTCTTTACACAGCTATATCACTTTCATGAAATTAGTTTCTATTTAATGTACAAAACAATAAGGGAGTTTTAACCTTTAAAACTATTGCTGAATATTTAAATTAAAATTATCGGCTATTATTAAAAAACATATTTATACTAATTGTTACTTATATTTTAAATTCAACTATGTTTGGAAGAAAAAAAAATAGTTTTAAAATAGAACAACTACAAAGTTAACAGAATAATACAATACAATTTGTGTTTTAAAAATTAACCAATTTTGAAATGTTTTATACTTACTTTCTACAGCTATGCGATTAAACATTAATTTACAAAAAAAAAAAAGACATTTTCCCTCCAAACACTCTAATTTTGTTTAGTTACTCTTTCTCATCTCGACAATATTTATGACGATATTTACGTCATACACTTTATGCATCTCATCTTATATATATTTGAATACCTTATCTGTAAGGTGATTTCTTCCAAGAAACGATTTATTCGTTTCTGCTCCTAGTGAAATTGAATTTTGACTAGAATCAAAATTAGATAACCGAGAATAAATTTGTGTTGGTGACTGTGGAGGTTTTGCAGTTGATATTTGTGTTGTTCGTCCTTGTATTCCCAAAAAGTTTCCCTGAACCTACAAAAGTGAACCGAAAATGTTTACAATATATTATTACATCTTGTTATGAATTGCATATTGCGATTTTAATACTAAACCTGCGTAGTAGGTGATGGTGGTACAGTATTGCTAGTAGTAGTAACAGTAATAATTTGAGTTATCTGTGTTGCTCCTGGATAAGAACGTTGAGACTTTAAAGCACTTGGATGCTCTGATGAATTCTCTGATGATGGTGGTGTTGTACTCATACCAAGCATTTCTTCTGGTATTGCTTCACAACTAACTCTATTAAAAACATAATTTTTTCAATTATAAAACTGTAGAATTTATATCTAAAATATCTTATATACCAGACACGTGAAAGTTATACATATAGTAAAGTACATCATTCACAGTGTACATTTTTTTTTTAGTGTAAATTTTACACTAACATAATTAAATACCTGTATACAGCATATATATTTACTACAATATTTCATCAACATATTATTTGTTAAAATACTAAAGCATTATTGGACAGTAATACCTCATATCTTTTGTGTACATATTTTTTGCATGTTTCTTCAATTCAGTATCAAGTTTTGCATCTACATCTGTTGATGAAAGATCTCGCTCCTGTTGAAAATTTAATTTTTCTTTATTCAAAAATGGATTTTTCCAATTAGCACTCATTTCAGGACTAGAATTTGATCTGCGTACGGGATTTCGAGAACGACGTAAATCTATAAAAGATTTGTATATTTGAATATATTAATTTAGTTGACTATTTATCACGACATACAAAACACAAAATACCATCTTCGCCATCCTCTAAACTTTCTAAGCTGTCACGTGAACTTTGTCTTGACGGACTCGGACGCACTGGGGAACCAGGTATTGCAATTGGATCCGTTGATATAGAAGATGTTATTACAGATTTTACAAGAGTATTATGATCAGCTCGCAATTCATCTTGATGACTTTTATCCATAGTATCCTACAAAAATGTCTAATAAATTTTGTTGTATTTTTTATTACGCGTTTTTAAATGCATTTTTACCTCGTCTCCAGAACATTCTGATGGGGATTCTTTTTGCTTTTGTATCAAATCTTGACTTGGTTTATATAGAGCTACTATATCATGTACAGGAAAATCTGCGTATGTTTCAAATTGCATAGAATTTTGAATTCTCATTATCCAAGACATGTCACCTGTAGGTCTGCGCACATATATTTCTGCCCAACCTTGACACCAACAAGCACAAAGTACGTGGTCTTCTTGCTTTTCACTATTAAGTATCTGTTCCAATTTTGATGATTCAACTTGATCTTTATCTATCTTTTCTGCAGAATAATCTTTTTTTGTTACATCGTCTATTATTTTTCTAGATTCTTCTGTTGGAGAATTAGTAACTGTATTTATGGTAGAACTACTGTGACCCCCAGAAGACTGTCTAGATAACTTGTCTTCTTTTATAATCTGCATACATGAATGTACAATTTTATGTTAAAAAATGTACTAGTAGCAAAATAACAACGTATATAATATCAAGGACAAGTATTCATAATACCTCAGCACCCGATGCGCGTCTTAAATTTAACTGAGCTGTTTTGGTCTGTTCAGGTGATTGAGAACTAGGCTTGCATGCAACCCAACAATTATCGCAAAGTCCCCCACGCATTGCTTTATTACTACAACCACTAGTTGTTATAGTGATAAGTTTATTACCAAGCAGCCATGTCATTGACTGACCTTCTTTGAGAAGAAATTTTGCTGCTGGAAGTCTAAATGAAAGTGAAATCTAACGTCACCATATTTCCTATAAAAAATGAAAATAAAGGATCTCTAACTTTACCTCTTAGGTCGCGCTGAGTAAGTTGAAAAAGTGTACCGGGCCATAAGATCGATACAAGTTTCAGTAAGTTCAACATGAAAGGTCATTAAAGCTTCATCAATTGGAGGTTTTAAATCTGAAACCTTACCATCTCCTATTATACGATTAGCCATCATTGGCCTTTCTCGTCTACCTCTACTGCCCTATAAATAAAGAAACAGTAGCAAACATAATACAATCTTCTAATTTATTTATACCTGTTCAGTTAAACTGGAACTGCGTTTTCTATTTGAGGAATCTTCATTCATAAAATTGAAATCTGATTTCATCAAATGTCCTTCTTCGAAAGGAACTATTACATTAGCCTTCAAGCCCTAAATACAAAAATAGTATATTATGAAATATAACACATTAATAAAGTATTACTTTTAATTCTGATTACCGTATTTTTTACAAATTTTGAAATTTAACCTTATACATACTGTAGTAATAAATCTGACAAAGTCTCTTCGAAATGGTAACCGACATTTCAAAAACCATACAGCAATTACATGATGTGCTAATGATACTGTGTAATGATCATACTTAAAAGGATTTGTATATGGTAGAAGAATTGCAAACACTGACATGTACTGATCTCCAATAAAACTTGCAAAAACTTTAGGAAGCCTTGTGAGAGCTACGGTGAAAAGAATACATAAATATTGTTTACATTTAAATAAGTGTAGAGGTTTCGTACTTACTAGATAAAAATTCTAAGATTGGTATGGCTATATGTACTGTTGCTGAAATTTTTGATAAATTTAGAAGAACTTCCCGTAATAGTTTATTCATTGCATCACGCATTTCTAAAATGCAAGTTGTAAGGCTAGTAACACACTGGCTTGCACATTTTGCTGTTAAACCAACCTAAAAAAGAAAAAAAATAAATTATAAAAAATATAAAACTTCCAAAAATTTTAATGAATAATTCAAAAAATTAATTCAGTTATTCACCTCCAAACATTTTATCAAACGCTGCTGTAAATTAGGCTCTAAATGTGCATGATATGAAGCTAATGATGCCAATACTGGAAAAACATGAACACGAAATTCAGAAACAGTAAATTTTGGAGGAACATTATAAAGTGACTCTGGAAGTCTTAAACTTTTGTCACTGACCTATAAAAATATGTTATGAGTTCATATTAAATATTTAAAAAGAAATAATGTGTAGAACAAACATACCATTGAACAAAGTACTGTTGCGAAATAATCAATGTCATTTGTATTTCGTGATAATATTAATGCTCTATTTTGCATTAATTGAGGTAATTCCTTTAATACGAGCTGCAAAATTTTCCAGTCTGCAAAAACAAAATAAATTTAAACTTTAACAACTAATCTTTTTATATGAATAATTATTCTTTTCAATACAGAAAGGAATTATAAACTGTTATGCGCTCGCTAAATAAAAAGAACGATACATCAGACATATATACATATTTCCAAATATAATTTTAATCCAAACTGTAATTATAGTTATTACTAACATCAGAAATACTTTTAGTATGTGATACTGAACTTCTTATTACATTTAATCAACGCAAACAGTTTTCAGAAGTAATGTCACATCAAAGTAATTATAACAACATATATATCAAATTCGATACAAACCTTTTTCTGATTTAATACAAGAAATGACAGCTTTACATGCATGTACTAGTGATATATGAGTAATTTGACAAGATAAATGTTGTAACGGAACTGGACTAGCTGGAGGAGGACTATTTCCACCACCTCCACTGTTTATTCGTTCAGTTGTATGTTCTAAAACTAAATACGGACTAAACTTTATTGCTGATGGATTTTCAGCATCCAAAAATCCAAGATGATAATGTGTGTTTGCTCTGATTTTTAAAAAACATTCAAAAATCTAAAACAAAGAATAATTTTTAATATGGAAAATTATTAATATAATAAAATTTTAAAAGTTAAGTACTGCACATTATTTATACATTACCAAGTATCGAACTGAAGAAGCATCATGGAAAATAGATGGTTCTTTATAGTGTTGTTCTAAATGATTAACTAAAATCTTATAAGCGCGTATCGCATGACTTGATGGCAAATGATAAATTTTTGACGTTAATATTTTTATTACACCAACTACTGCAGTCTTTACATCTTTAATGTCAACATCTTTCAAAATTGGAGTGTCCAACGTGAAAGGTTTGTTGATCACCTTGAAAAAGTGTTTTCATATTAAACTGTTACATTAAAGTTAATATGTGTACTCAAAACATTTAATACCTTCTCAAGTATATCTAAAAGTTCTAAACATCGTTTTGTGTCACATTCAAGACAAAGATCAACAATTAAATGTACAACACTGTTACGAACTGTAATATCTGGATCTACATCAATGTGTTGAAAATATGGCACAATTATTTTTTCAATCAATTCGTCTTCATATCTAAACCTGTACAAATATATAAAATCAAAATTTGTGAAATAAAGGAGAAAGTTGTCTTTAAATACCTATTAACTTCAATAATGTTGGTTAAAACATCAAGAATTTTCATTCTAATGTTAGTACGAGTTTCAATTTTATAATAACGTTCCATTAAATTGGCTAATTTAGATTGCCACTGGTAATGAGTAGGTCCTATAGTATATGCTCGATATTCAATTAATTTTAAAACAGATCCTTCCTAAAAAAAATTGTTAGAAATATTTACAATATTTCATTCTACTTTGTTTAGTTAATAATAAATTATTTTATGTTTATATTAGTATATTGCTATAACAGTATAGTACTACATATAATTAAAATAAAAACAGGTCGTGTTTTAAATAATTACAGGTCGTGTATCTCTACAACGTTCGACAAGTTCATAAAATCGTTGAATGGACCCATTATAATGGTTATTATCCAACAAATTTTCAATACTGTTTATTGTTTCATGTAAGCTTACTGACACCTGTTTGGTTGCAGGTTGATTACTAGTTTCTGAAAACAAATATGTTATATACCGTTATGTATGAATATTATTGTCAATTTGAGTTTCTTAGGCTATGGACCGTTCCGCCGTACCTAAATTTTATAGCTCATACTGCTAGGTGTTCGAAATATCAAGGGACGGGACATGCAAAGAGAAAAGACCTTACCACTTAGCTTTATTGCTACGTAAGAAATTTTGATCTTTGATTCTCATTATTCTATTGATTTAGGAATGCCTTAATTGAGTTTAACGAGAGCCGTGGTATGAACTCAACAACTGGTCGCGCCGCTTAAAGGTCCGAGCGGCCGTTCGAAAAAACGAACGCTGAATTTCCGTGATCGGACGAGAACCGGTATTTCCTACAGGGTTACCCCGTTGGGTTTGCACCATTATGTATATTGCACAATAAAGCGTTCGTTGGCAAAACCGCGAAACGGAACAATGGATGTGTGTCTTAACGTTTGAAGTTGACGATTACGTCCGCGACATGTGTAAATGGGAACAACCATATTAAAATTATGATGAATAACCTTGAACTCTTACCTGTATGAGAAATAACTTCTTCAATAATATCTAGAATAATATTCCAGGTCGGATCCCATAATTCAACACCATATTTATTTACTAATCTTTGTATTGATAATGTCACTTCATACATAACTACAGGATGATTGCATTTTAAAGCCTAGTGAAATGAAATATATAATAAATGTTATAACCTATTCTTAATTATATCATACCAAACATTGTACTAATAAACTTTTACTACCTACTTGATAAAATGAAGGTAGTACAGATGTTGGTGTACACTCTAACTTTGGAATTCTGAGTGTTCCCCAAAGACCCATATTTACATAAAAGACCGCGCCTCGTAATAAACGTACATCACGTTGAAAATTTGGGTCTTGTAACATACGACACATTGTATATAATGCAGAATGACCCATATGTGTACCTAATAAATTACGCATTATCTGCAAAAGATTATTAATACATTTTAAATTAATTTATTTCTAATACATTAAACATTATTAAAAGTTAATAGTATAAAGTAAATAAGTAATATATTTATGAAATATAAATGTATGATAGATTCAATTAATTCAAGAAATACTTTTAGACCAGAACTTAGATTAGAATGAAATTTGAATAAACTCAGACAATTAAAATACGGTTAATGTTCATAAATTGTAAAATTTTGTAACATACTTTCCAACTTATTTGGCAATATTTTTCAACATTAACACTTCCACATAATGCTATAATAAATGTTTGTAGTGAATCAGATTGTAAATTACTGTAACAAACAATTGCATCTAAAGCTTCTAAACATCCAGAAACGACTTCATTGCTATTACTATAGTAGCATAAATGACAAATATACCTAAAAATATAAAAAAAAAGAATATTTCTTTCGTTAAAAATATTAAATAATAATTATAGTAGATAAGATATTTACTGCACAAAGCCTGATATAATTTCTTCATCAATGTAAGCTGAATTAAATTTAATGACATTAACTAGAAGTGACAAAAATTCAGCACTCCTTTTCCCATCTCCTGCAGTCACAACAGACATCCAATCTAGTAAGAAAGGTCCTATTCTTTCTTCCAAATGTAATATATCCTTACCATTTTCTGTTAGACTTTGTAAAAGTTCTAATCTAAAATAATATTATTAGTTAAAAATACAATAAAGTAATTATTAGATAATGCAGTACAATAAATATAATACCGAGGTCCAATATCTTCAGGAATATTATGCTCTTTAACAACCATGAAAAATTTTATTCTCATGAGAGAGGACAATTTAGAATATTGTCCTTGAACAAGACATCGTAAAAAGTTTAATGCCACATGTCTATGTTCACGAGATACATCTTTATCTAAAAGATCTTGTACTAAATACCACAATCGTTCAGCTGCTTTCTATTACACAATTAAAACGAAATAGATTATTATTAATAAACCTATTATTAAATAAAATCTAAGTACTTACATCTTCCCACTGTTGATTAAGAACTGCATCACAAAGATCTTTAATAGCTTTTGTACGTTGATGTACAGGACTTTCAGGACTAATTTCTTTTTCAAGATCATGAGTTAATATAAAATCTTCGCGACTTTTATAATTTCCTAAAGAAATGTTTACTATTTATAAATTATTTATGAAACATACAGATGCATAATGTTATAAGCATATAGCATACAAATTGCATTCTCCTATTATAGTAAAACAAAAATCATTACTATATTTTATAAATAAGATGATAAAATACAAAAAATTACCTTTGTTGATACGGAAAAATTGTTTCAATCTATCATGCAACGTTTTGTTGTCTTTATCTTTCGAGCTCATTTTCGACATTTTATTTTGAATACTTAACATAAAACACTAAAATACAGATAAGAAAAAAATGAATAATAAACATATCAAAAGATCTCAATAAAAAAATTCTATCACACGCACAATGAACAGAAACAGAGTCCCATGATACCAAACACTACTTTGCTGTAATCAGAAGTTGGAAACCATAGGCTTATACAGAAAGTCTATGACGGAAACTTTTCTGTTTCTATAATTCGTTCTGCGCATGTGAATCTTGAAGTACGACTACACCAAAGAGTAAGGATACAACAAGAGGCGACACTCTTTGTCGGCACCTTTGATGCAAAGAGTAGGAATGCAACAAGAGGTAACACTCTTTGTCGCCACCTTTGTACTCTATGCATAGTCGCGCTTTGTGATACTCAAGTGCCATCTTCTGTATAAGGAGAAAATAAACAAAGCCAAACCAAACCAAACCTACTGTAAAGCCGCGTTTACATAAGGCAAGTAAGCCGTGCTGGAAGCCCGCGCAAGTAGATAGTCGAATTTTTGCGTGAATTTTTACATCTTAAATATTTATGTAAAACAAAAAGATACGTGTTCTCTAATTAACTTTCCTCTTGAAATTTTACTAGATTTTATTTCGATCAGATCAAAACTGATTTTTTTACACCAAGAAATTGGTTACTTTAGGGGTACTTCACCCCCTAATTTTCACTCCCCTTCCAACGTACCTGGGTCAATTTTTGTCTTTTATCGAAAGATACTTTCATACCAAAAATTTTAAAAATTGCTTCATTAATCTCAAAAATATCGCAATGACCTAGGCCAACTTGTGTCTTCTATCGAAAGATACTTTCATACCAAAAATCATCAAAATTGCTTCACTGATCTCGAAAATATCGCAATGTTTCCATTTTACTCTCACACTTTGGGGGGTTGTTTCATACCCTAAATATGTTTTACCGCAGATAAAAAAAAATACGTGTCCCCTAATTTTCCATGGACTATTACATATCCAAATTTCAGAAAAATCGGAGAGTGACACTTCGGTAGGTTTACTTGTGTAACGCAAGCGTACTGTTATCATCCTGAATATAGTCAGTGAAGTATGGCGACACGACCGTGAGAATATTTACAGAGCGCATCTGTACTTTGTTATATCGATGACCATAAATTAAGAGCGAAATTTAAACTATCTGAGCGTGCGATCATGTACAATAGACAAAGCTTATATTGTTAAAGCCACTCGACGTGGGTGTTCGTGCTAGGAAAAGTTTGGGAATCCAGAGAATAAACATAGCTTCATTCTGAATGTTTGTAGAGATTAATTTATTAGGGACCGTATCGAATTCGTTGTTTTTGACTAAGTCGCGTTCGGTTCTGGAAAGCTTCGAGATCTCCTACGAATGTCTTTTCATGCACTCGAAGAGGGTCGTAAATTTTCGCCCAGTACAAGGACTTTGTTTTCGCGTTTCTCTGGGTCCCACGCTTTCTCTAAGCACATGTTCAATGTTACGTTCCCGCGTCTTGGCGGAGCCTCCACCACCACGCGGCTGAGGGTGGACCACAGCCAGGAGAAGGGGCCCACATCGGACAGGGGTGGACTCCTCCACCATTGGACAAGGGATGATCCTGAGGGAGGATCCAGGATCCAGCGAGGAAGGGGCATCGATCCGCATCACCCGAAGATCTCCTCCGCCAAGCGCAGAACGATCAGACTAATTTTGTATTTCATACGCTCCAGTT